AATTAAGATTCTGTTTTTTTTTTTTTTAGGAATACAACGAATAATTTTTAAGTGGAACTTATAAAATACTAAATCTGCCAAAAGGAAGAGACATTTAAAATTAACATTTTTTTAAAATTAGCGTATGAGCATAAGTATGAATTATATGCATTTATTATATAATTCTGAATATCTTTTCCTCATTGCAGAAGAAAATGTCACAGGCACTTTGAAGTAGACATGTGCCCAAGGCTGTATATTTTCAGTCACATGATTAAAGACTATTTATCACATATTTCAGTGCCGACACCAGCTTTCTTTCCTCAAACACTGCCTGTTCCAAAGCTCATCTCAGGAATGGTTCTGATGAATCTAGATCCACTAATTCAAGTGACTGATCTGGTTCATAATTTGTCTCATTCAATGATAGCTTGCTTTCAATAGGAGCAAAGGTCTTATTTGTCTAACTCCTAGAGAATGAAGCTAAAAATTTGCAATTTCAGCTCCCGCAAGCAAGAGAGAAGTGATTTGCTTGCTTACTTATGTATTTGTTTCCACTTTAAACCACCCCTTCTCTGTCTTATAAAATCATGCCATGTGATTACGTTCTGCTGCGTGTAGGACTGGCCTTAACATTACATAAAATATTGTGGTGACTCAGCAAGGTCGAAAAGAAAAAGGAAATTGATACCTCTGGTTTAAGAAGAGAAGGCCTCAGGAGTTGCTGTTGCTGCCAAAGGAAATTAAAATAGAAAAATGTTTAGAAAATAATTCCAGTGGAAAAGGGAGATCATGATTGAAAAGAGAGAAAAAAAAGGCCACAGCTTAAAACTGGTTACCTTGGGATTATGAGTTATTATTCCTGTGATAGCCACCAATATTTTGACTATTGATGTTGGAATGTGAAATAAAGAATTAGTTTGCATTTCATCATTGTTTTAATTAACATCGAAGTTAATAACCTTTAATAAATGAAAACCTGTATAACTTTTTGGTTCAAACTTTTTCGGGTAAAAAGTTATTTACAATTTTAAAAGCATTTCAAGTGCCACAGGATCCTTTTGAACAAACTTAACTCTGTTTTAAATTGCCCCCTTTTTTTCCTCCCCAGTCACATCAAGTGTAATCAGGTTCATTACTGAGAAGGGTAGAGTGCATAACATAATGATACAGTCATAACATATTCATCGTCATATTTAAGAAATGCTCCCCACTTGTCTTTTTACCAAAACCTGGGCTGCTTACAGTCAAGCATTGAGCATGATTTTGGAAATTCTTTTGTGATCGGGGAAATTGTCCTTCCTTGGATTTTGCAGGGATCACTCCTTACTGCCTCTCAGCCTCACCCACACTCAAAGGAAACATGGTGTCTGTCTGTTGGTCTGTTTCCTGATAATTTACCCTTTAAACACATGGGAACAAGAGACACAGTTCAAGTTTTGGTTTATCCACTCCTTGAGGGAATGGTTACACAACACAAATCTTACATGGGAATGACACTGGGAACGTGGGCATTGAAATTCCAGCAGACCATTCCAGTGGCAAACCAGCCATTGGAAATGGCCAGGAGAACAACCACGTGACTGAAGGGAGGATCGATTGTCCATGACACGGCTGTGAGTGACCTTGTCTAGTTAAGGTATTCCTTTAAAGGAGTAGGAAGTTGAAGGTAGAGATAGTCTGATCCAATCTGTTAGCTATGACACCTGTCCCTGAAAACCAGTTATTCTTAAATGCATTCTTCTGGATTTCCAAATACATTAGGACTTGTTCATTCTAAACTAGTGGCCAGTCGGGTCGTGAGCTCACTTCACTGTCTTGACTGGGAAGCCGTCTGCTCAACTCAGCCACAGCACCACTTTCAGGACAGCTGGGCCAAATCCCACTGGCTAGAACATCCACCACCTTCTCCACAGACCCAAGAGTCACATGAACACGATGGAGAAGCCAGAGATTTCTCATAGTCTGACTCTTGAAAACTCTTTAAGGTCTTAAGCTCTCATGTGTTAGGAAGGAGCTTTGGACTCTGGTAAAAGGGACAAAAGTCCCAGGTTGCTAGAGTAAGTTTCTAGCCTTAGGAAAAAAAAAAAAATCTGGGCGAATGTCACAATACTGAGTAATAGCAATTCAGGAAACAATATATTTATCCTTGGAAAGGGGAGCATTTGATATTTGTTCACCCACTTAAAACCCCAGAACAAACCAGCAACAGGTACAAAAGACAATAAATAGCAGAGCATACTTATAAGTTTTATTGAAATAAAGGAAAATACCCTACCTATGAAAGAATGAAAATCAGTCCTGCCTATAAAGCAAATATTTTCCTAGTAAGCTTTATGTAACACCATGAAGCCCTTACCTCTGATGCATAACCTCTCCTGCAAGGCAGAAACAAAGAAATCAGTATTAAACCACTTAGAGTTTCAGATTAAATGAAATTATAGATAAGGGCTTTTTTTTTTAATCTGGGAAAAAATAAGGTAATTTTTACTAAAAATTGTCTCAGTGAGAAATACATTCTGTGGCAGTTTATGAGGACAGGAGCATCGAGGTTTCATGCCTGCATTACTAAAACAGACTCTCACGCTGCATCAACAGCACACCTTACACAATCTATTTTATCTCAGTGGTGTATAATAACACACTTTGACTCTCTTATTATCAACTGGATTAAAAATATTCTATATCATCTCTAACCTAGACAAGTCTTGATACATATAAGATACTCATTTGGGGAAAAGATGTGTTTTATACATGAAGAGCATATCGATACAGGATAAAAATGACCTCGATGCCTAGAATATATTCTTCCAAATGTTGGTAAGATGTTTTTTTGTCTGTTTGCATCAATTTATTCTAAAAATAATGAATGCAGAATACTGACTAGTTTTAAGGGTCAATGACATTATGAGACATAAGAGCTGAATACTTTCATTTTCATTTCATATTCAGTATTACCATACAGATTTATAAAGTTCATGGACCACAAGTTGGGGAAATGTTCCACTGTACTTGAGGGGGGGGGAAGTATACAATGCTTTTAGTGTTGAATGTCATTAATTATAACGATTTTTTTTTTTAAAGATTTTATTTATTTATTTGAGAGAGAGAATGAGATAGAGAGAGCATGAGAGTGGGGAGGGTCAGAGGGAGAAGCAGACT